TTTAGGGAGTAAGGCCATATTGTAGTGTGTTTCATTTTAAAGTCACCCCAGCACTCTGGTAATATGACTTTAAAAAAAGGGGTTTCTTGTGGCCCGCCTTGGTTTATTTAAGCTTTTGCCATGGATTTCTTTGCAATGCTTCTTCTTTTCATTTTCTACAGGAAGCTGAAATGTTGCGCTCCATCTCTTTCCACCCATCTGGGGATTTCTTGCTGGTGGGCACGCAGCACCCAACTCTGCGCCTTTATGACGTCAACACTTTCCAATGTTTCGTATCCTGCAACCCTCTAGATCAGCACACAGACACCATCAGCGGAGTCTGTTACAATCCCAGTGCCAACAGCTACGTCACCTGTAGCAAAGATGGCAGCATCAAACTGTGGGATGGAGTGTCTAACCGGTGTGTGACTACCTTTGAGAAAGCCCACGACGGGGCTGAGGTCTGCTCGGCCGTCTACTCCAAAAACTCCAAGTATGTTCTATCCACTGGAAAGGATTCTGTTGCCAAACTCTGGGAAATTTCCACAGGCCGGACTTTGGTCAAGTACACAGGTGAGATGGCGAATTATGCGCTGTGTTAGATTATGGATAAGGTAAGGAGAATAATAATTCGACTGAAGGAAATAGGGTGTCGGTTTCCGTTTTGAGCAATCCCGATCTCAAATTAAGCCGCAATGGATCCAAAACAATTTTTAGTGACATGGTAAAATAAATCATATTTTACCTTTGATGTGAATTTTAATGTGATTCAATGAAAGACAGTACTGCTGCAACATAATAGTAAAAAATATTCATCTATTGAGTTATAGATGGTGTTGCACACAAAAACAAAGTTACAATACAGTTGATTGATTTACAAGAAAATCATCTGAGTCGGTTCTTTATATTATATCAAAAACATAAAGCAGGACCAGTGTGATTCCCTGACAAATCTCTCATGAAACAATTTTTTTCTTCTTTATTTCTTGTTTTTGTGAATCAAAAACATAGTACAAACAATATAGCCAAATTCCATAAAACACATTACTCGTATGAGTCTGGTTTGTAAAGACCATTTGCTGGTTTGAAAACAGTACTCTGTATAATTTACAGCATTAACTGTGAAATAATTTATTTTGTTTGTAAGCAGAAAAGACTTTATTACTGAAATATACTAATTTGAATCAGAATTGAATCAAATCTTGAGCTTGAGAATCTGAATCAAATTGAATCGGGTAACTGGTGTATTTTAACAAGGCTAGAACGCTATTGACCAATGAGCATCCAGGAATAAAACGGTTTACATACTAAGATGGTCTTTTTGGAAATGTAGTTTTCTTGGAACTTCCAATTAGCCAATTTGGGGCAAATAAACCAAAACCTTGACACATATGTTGGAAACGCGCTGTCTGTTATCACACCACCTGTCAATTGTTTTTCATCATTGTAACTCACACACACCCTCACTGTGTTTCCTGTCATGCAGGTGCGGGTCTCAGTGGGCGACAAACGCACCGCACTCAGGGCGTTTTTAACCACACAGAGGACTATGTGCTGCTGCCGGACGAGAGAACCATCAGCTTGTGCTGCTGGGATTCACGCACAGCCGAGAGGAAGAACCTGCTCTCCTTGGGCCACAATAACATCGTGCGCTGTATCGTCCACTCACCCACCAACCCCGGCTTCATGACCTGCAGCGACGACTTCAGAGCCCGATTCTGGTATCGCCGCACCACCACTGACTAAGAGACATTTGTGTGCTTTGAGACCAAAACGGTCTGAGTTTCTTTTATCAGTAGGTCCCAAACACAGAAATGTCCACATTGTGTATGACTTCATCGGCTCCTTTGCAAAGGATGCGTATCATTGAACACACAAAAACGTTTTTTTTTTGTTTTTTTTAAAGCATCAGAGACCTTGTTGCCTCTTATGACTGTGGTACCTTTCTATTACTATCAGGTGGCGCTGTTTTACAAATCATCATCTGAGATGCATTGTTTTTAGAACTTTATTTTTTGGATTCAAGACCCTTTTGTAACATCAGAACATTCAGCTGTAAACTGAACTGTGATAAAAAAAACTTTGTGTATCTGACAAGTAGATGAGTATTAGTCTAGTGGAAAGTGCCTAGGATGACGTCTTTTCACTTTTGATTTGTGTACTGTTCTTTTTGTTTTATATTAAAAGTCTCTGAGAGAAGTGTTTCTTGTACCGATTTTTAATAGGCACACGTCTGAAGCGTTTGGGAATGCCATTGAATCATTAAATCATAGTTGTTAGCGGAGTTTGCTATTGCTCAAACTTTGGGCTTAGGGTTTGAACAAACTCTTAACCGTTAGCGTTTGACTTTGTTGTTCAACTCGTTTCTAAACCATCTCAACTATGAAAAAAATCAGTGTGTGAAAATCCTGTAGATTTAGCACTACCATTCAAAAGTTTGGGGTCGGTAAGAATTTGTAAAAATGTTTTTAAAAGAAGTCACTTATGCTACGAAGGCTGCATTTATTTGATCGAAAATACAGTAAAAACTGTATTCGATTTTAATATACACTAATGAGCCAAACATTATGACCAGTCACAGTTGAAGCGACTATCGTTGATCATCTCCCAACAAGGACACATGTTAAGGTCTGGGTAGATTAGATGCAAGCGAACAATCAGTTTGCATAATCAATGTGTTGGATGAAGGAGAAATGGGCAGGAATAAAGATCTGAGCAACTTTGACACGAGACAAATTCAATTTGAATTTGTCAAATGCAATGCATCCTTGCATTAAAGGATTCATTTCTTAAGACAAAAAACCTTACCCCAAACATTTGTGCTTCAAGCCATATTTAGGGCCTAGAAAAACAATAAAGACTTGAGAAAGAGCATCATGGTGGCATGAAAATCAAAATAATCTGCATAATTTGCCTTCCGCAAATCTATTTGCAGTCCTTCCTTTGACTTGGTTAGTTCGGCTTGCAGCTTGGATGGTTTTCCGCTACTGTTTGTTTTAAAATTTGCCTTGGTTTTGTCTCTTCTATGTTTATCTTATTTGTGGCTAGTGTTTGAAGCAGTGTTCACAGACAGAAGTGGAAATACTGCCCACCGCCCAATAGATACGAAATGGCACATTAGTCATTTACAGAAGCTGCAACCACTGTTTGCTGAGCCATTCTCTAGAAAACCCTATATATGTGGCGCAGCAACATCCTCATATGTTGTTTAAAAGCTAGTCTGCAATTTCTAAAACTCTATGAACTAACACAATCAGATGAATCATATACGACCTATGCTCATAGATTCGTGGCGCTGTGGAACTTAGACATTTAAAAATGCTGATATTTTTGGATATTCTTCAGTAATGTCAAATGGTCAGGTAATAGTTTATAATATCTAAAAATAGGCAAGTGTCTCAGAGGCAAGTATGTCTAAATGTTTGACAAGGAAGGGTAATTCCTTGTAGAGTTTCAAGATCCGTCTTGTTTTGCGTTGGCCGGGCTCTTAATAAGTACAAAGCCTCATTCACAGTGAGTGTTACTCAGCCGGTTTACTGTGTGACGGATCCGTGTTTGTTTGTTTTTTTTAGGGATTATCAAATGAGCTCAATGGCTTTGCAGAAGAAATGTTTACACGCATAATAGGTGTATCGAGTAAACTATAGAGTTGTGTACAGATATCTGTTCACTGCTGATCACTTCTGGAAATTATGTGTAGCATAATAGTGCAAAGGAAATAATAACTTCCTTATTCTTTAGAAGCCAGTTTTTTTTTTTAAGTGGGCTGTTGTCTTCTGTCATTGATAAATCTCGTGTGACTTTTTGTAGTTGTACATATAAAATCTAAAGGTTTTTGCTTGTGTAGCATTAGTATAATTGTCAGTCATGAAGCAGCTCTTTCTTTACTTGAGGATACATGGATACATATATAATAAGGATAAATATACAAATGTTTTTTTTTTTATGGGATACACCATAAAACATCAAATTTATATACCAAAAATATTTTGGTTTGTATATATATATATATATATATATATATATATATATATATGAAGAGTTCAGATGCAAAAGCCTCTAAATGACCATTAAGCCTTCTAAAATGACCATTTTCATCATTGCCATTTAAGTGAAATTACTGAACTTAAATATACAAGCTTGATAAAAATGATCATTTTAGAAGAAATTTTCAAATGGCACTTAGAGGCTTTTGCATTTGAACTCTTCATATATATATATATATATATATATATATATATATATATGATGGTGATGTGTACTGTATATATATATATATATATATATATATATATCATCTTTATCAAATCAATTAATCATGATTAAAACAAAAGTTTGTGTTTATATAGTGTATGTGTATATATATTTATATATACTGTGTATTATACATGCATGTGTGTGCTTTATATTTTTTAATCATGATTAATCGATTTGAAGGTTTGTATGTGTGTCATTTAAAAAATAATGACATGGCCCCCTTACCGGGTTTAAACCCTATTGAAAGATTTTTTGTGTGTGTGTGTGCGCAGTGAGTGAGATGGGAACATTTTTCCTTTTGCCGCATAATTATTCTGCACACTAAGAGTTGCCCAATAATTGTGCACACACAGATATTCTCCTAAGAAAGCCAAAACCTCACTTTTACTTAAATATTCAGGATTGAGGTTTATTAACATTTTGGATTGACTGAGAGCACTTTAGTTGAATCCTCAAAAATAAAATTTTCCTTATAATTGTGCACACAGTGTATTCCTCTCAAATATCATTGGTTTTAACTAGTTGTGCTTTGGGAGCCTAGATTACTTAGGACACCAAGTGGCAACCGATATTGATTTTCATACCAATTTTCCTTAAACATGGCAATTTACCATTTATTACAATGACCTGCATAGGTCCAACAATATGCATATGTAGACATAGGCTCAAAACTTTGTGTTGTTTTGATTATGGTTTTTGAATATCAGGTGAATTGATTGTGTAGTGTAGTGAATCATAATAGTGTAAAGTGTGATTGAATTATTGCCAGTGCTTCAATGTCAACAACAAAAGAAGTGTAACTCGACATAATTAGAATAGTTGTATTTTATTGTATTTGCATCTAAAGATGTTTGTTTGCTTTTTAAAGCTGTCTGCAACCCCATCAGAACAGACCTGTCACCCATTTCTGGGTTACGACCCATCAGTTGAGAACTCTTGCTGTATATCATTGGTGTCCCACCCAGCCGGTACAGGGGGTCTATCTGTTGTCTTGACAACAAAGTCTGTCCTCTAGAGAATCCGTCCCATTAATCAGCTTATGTGAAAGTGAAAACTGATTTTATGAAACAAATAGTGGAAGTAGAGTACTAGTAATACAGAGAACGCCTTTGTCTTTCTTTTGGAAAATAACCTACATTTTGTCTGACCAACTTCTGCTTTGCAGCTTTCCTAAATCAGGCGTAAAAACATTCTCTCATAGAAGTTGGAGGAGGTGCGGTGGCAGTTGTTAAGGGGCATTCGGATTGGCTGACTTACGTGAGAGCAAGACACATGTCATGACTGAATGCTTCACTCCCCGCCCCTTATTGTCAAGTGTCTGGACTCCGGGTTTATTTGGGCAATGTGTATGTGTGTGAGAGCAAGAAGTACTAGACCATAGTACATAGAAATAGAGCAAACAGCAAACATAGAAAAAACAAACTGATTAAGACTCCGTTTACAGATTCACTGATGCTGTTGGAGAAGCTTTGCTGTTCCTGTCAATTCTACATGGACTTTTGAATGGGATTCATTTACTGCTTGATCACAGGACTCGTATCTCAGAAAGATGGAGGTCAGTACACTTTACTTCTCTAAATCATCCTATCATCTTCTTCAGGAACGTCTTTAGATGAATTCAACCCTCGGTGAGGTTTCAGAACTAGTGATATGAAAGTCATTGCAACCTACCAGAGCATGCTGTCAGTGTGTCAAACAGGAACCGGTTTTCTCTGCAATACTTTTTTCTTTCTTTCTCATGGCCGATGACCAACTGCTGGGATTTCACTGTTCAGATGTGGTGTCAGCCCGTAACCCTTGCCCTCACCTCTCTGAGCCACATATATAGACCCCCAAATGTGCAGAGGGTGCTGTGTAACGTGATGCCCCTAACCCTGAGAGTGAAAGGAAGAGAGTGGCACTTTATGGCTGTCGTTAACATGCTTTCTTCTTTTGAAAATAGGGTCGAGTTAAGTTGGAGAGGTTTACAGGTTTGATGGGGGGGTGACACTTTAGTTGTAGGTGGAAATTAGCTATTTTACTTTTCTTAGTCAAGAAAGTCCCTGCTCCATATTAGTGTCATTTTAACATGTGGTTATCTGATGCTTTTTTTGTATGGTGAGAAACTTTGTGTTGGACTGCTGATCTTTATTTGTCACTTCCAACCGCAGCTGCGGTTTATGCCTTCAGACGTGTATTTGCTCATAATGGCAAAATCAGATCAGCATTATAAGAAAGGCACCACAGGTGACTAAATATTTGTATTTTATATTTTGTTTTTAAGACAGATGCTGCAAGTTTATGTATCTGGTATGTTTTGTGTCTTTTTCTATATCCTATATCCTCTATTCTATATTGATAAGATGTTTTTGAATGATGTCTCCTTATGCTCACCAAGGATGCAGTTATTTGATCAAAAATACAGTAAAAATAGTAATATTGTGAAATATTGTTTATAGTTCGAATTTAATATATTTTAAAATGTAATTTATTCCTGAATTTTTTGCATCGTTACTCCCTTCTTCAGTGTCACGTGATCCGTCAGAAAGCATTTTAATATGCTGATTTGCTGCTTTTGAGAGACTTTTCTTATTATTATCAATGTCAAACAGTTGTGCTGCTTCATATTTTTTTAGAATGTTTTGACAAATAGAACGTTGAAATATAAATCTTTTGTAATGTTATAAATGCCTTTACCGTCACTTTTGAGCAATTTAATGCATATTTTCTGAATAAGTGTCCTTGTTACATATGTTACATGTACTTACCATAGTAATAACAGTAAATTATACTGTAAATTCATTACATGTAACTAACCCTCAACCAAATCCTAATCCTACCTTAACCCCATATATTAACTACCTGTTGTTAATACATTTTACACAGTAGCCTACTTAAATATATAATAACACTTTAACAATGACACCTTAAAATAAAGTGTAATACAAAATTCTTATCAAGACTACTTTAAAGGTTGTTAAAGTTAAAGTTTCTCCTTCATTTGACCTTTTGGACAATTTTGCACTCTTCCTTATTAGGTATATTTTACTCAAGATGTGGTGTGACGACAACTTGTTTCAAAATCACTCCCACAGACCAATCTAATTCCTCTCTCACCCACACTATCAACAAGAGACTAAAATATTGTGTAAAATATGTCATATCCTTTAAGCAGTCTCGGCTATATCTTATGTAGTTCCTTGAAGGGATACTTCACCTCTGGAAAGATGAATGTGTATATCAAATGGGTCATTTATGTAGAAGAAATGTGAAATTATTTTTGAATTTGGAGCTTTCTAGACTGAGAAAAGCCAGAAAATGTATTTTTGGCGGATGAAAGACAACTCCCAGAATGCACTTGCTTCGCTGCCCTAGAAGGCCACGCCTACTAGTAACAGAGCGCAGTAGTTATACAACAAGTCTAGGCTACTAGTGAGTCTCCGTGATGAGTCTGCCTGAAAATGTGTTTCGAGATCGCCCAAAATGTCCAGGATTCAGCTTTTGCGTTCTACAGTCGCCATTCATTATGTTTTCTGTGGCGAGCAGGACGAGACTGAGGGCCGCGGAAGAACGGTACGAGGCCGGTGGCGTGATTACCGATGAGCGACACCTGTGAGACGCACCGGTCTCGTATCTCTCACGGAGGAGCGGAAATTTTCTCAGAAATGTTGAAACGCACATCAACCGATCACTTATTTAGCGTTCATGTAAACACTACATTCAGATTCACCAATGGATTGAATTCAGTTAGATTGAAACAAAAGGTGTGCATGAAAACAATGAATGGCGACTGCAGAATGCAAAAGCTGAATCTCGGACATCAACGGCCGGACATGTCCGGGAAAAAGAGAATGGTAACCCCTACTACTCAGCTATCTCCACAGGATAAGAGCCTGCTAGCTTAGCTTCTAAAAAAGATGTCTGACACTATTGTGTACATTCTGTGAGTGAGATCCCACCCTCTATGGGCGGGTTGAAAACATGCGGGACAGCCCCTACAACTGACTGTAGTTTTAAGCCTCTGGCCAAAAAATCCTTCGATGATGCAAAATGACGATATTTGCGACATCGGAGGATTTTTTCCAGACAAAAATTACCTAAATCTTTTGTCTCGAGGGTGGAAAGCATGGTAATTTAAAAATACTACAGGTGTTTTACTTAAACAAAGCTTAATGCTAAACCCTGAACTATCCCTTTAATCAAATGGTTATGACCCTAAATTATTTGTGGAAACTTGATTTCCTTCAACTAAAACTAATTGAAAATGAGTATTTATTTAAAGTCCCCCTGTGGTGAAACTCAAGCTTTTAATGTTGTTTATGGGTCTAATTGGTGTGTTTATAGTGGTGCCTATATATTTTTTTTAACTTACACGTTTGTCTTACACAAAATAGCTTCGAACTAACTGGCTTATATACACAAACAGCGTTGGCATCATGGTTTACGTTCTTGATCAAATCGAAAAAATTACGTCATGAAAAATACATTTACAAGATTAGTATACAAATTCAGGTCCAAAATGTTTGTACGTGTTTGTCGTAGACACGAAATAGCATAACTAAGTGGCTATAAAGCCAGCGCTGGCATTTGATAAAATTAAAACATTACGTCTGAAATACATTTAAAATGATTAAGTCTTACTTACGGTTGTGGCCCAACAACTGCTGCCTCTGGTTTTAAAGTTGGAACTGCTTCATGTTTTAATAACAGTTTCTTGTTGAATCCGGCATTGAATTCGTGGAGATTCTGGAAGCTGTCTTTCGTAAAATGCGCAGCACAGAGAGCTAAATTACGATCGTCATTTTCAGGAACATAATCAAACATAAATTGTATTCATTGTTGACGAACTACAACGTCCACGGGAAGCCCGAACACAGAAGACCTGACAACTTGGTGAACATAACACACTTTTGATGAGTCGCAGAAATATGGCCATGCCCTTTTTTTTTTTTTTGCATATTCCAAAGGGAGGGTTGATGTCATGTAAATGTATGGGTTAGTGACGTCTAAAACCCAGCTGTAGTCCCATTCAAGTAGTTTTTGTAGGCATTAAATTTCCTGATTTTTTTAAAAGACAATATTTTTTTTAAAAAATTAATTTTTAAAAGACAATATCTCTGCTTACACTGAACTTTCAGCACTGCAACTTTGCAGATACTGTTCATGCACCAACAGCAACATTACACACTATTTAAAATGAAAAAAGTGAAATTGCAATCAACCACCCCTTTAGGGGATCAAATTATTGACTTCAGGGGGACTATAAACGAAGACTTCTTTTTCAATAAAAATAGTTTAATCAGCATTTTATTAGGTTACTTTTTGCAATTTGTTCTCCATAAGATAGAACTTATAATTCTATAAGTTCTATAATTCTTCATTTGTCATGCATGTTCACACATATACAGTAGTATGTCTAAACTTAACACAAGAACAGAAATAGTGCTAGCTAAACAACTAAAACTTACTCTGAATTTGGGGAAACACACTTTGCAGTGACTTGGGCTTGATGTTGCCTCAGCTATAGAAAGACGTCAGAATCTGGTGACAACATGTAGCCTATATGCATAAAAAAGCAGAAGACATGATGGGTCAGGAAATTGGCTTCTAAAAAAAAATGAAAAAAAGTCAGTCCTCATCAACCCTGACCTTTTATTTACAATGTATCATAATCACGACTGGGGTAATCTGCTGTTTATCTTATGTCGAATCATCTAATCATTGCATTGTGTAGATGCATGACATTTCCTGTGATGCATCAATTTCAAAACACTCAAATCTACAAAAGGGGAACATGAAGCTAGTGAGACTGATTGTGATGATTTCAGTCACTCAACATCAGTCAGTCATTATTAGCTCCTATATCCTCCCTGGAAAAAACAAATAAATAAGAGTGCATGTGAATCAATGGGTCCCAGGAAGTCGTCTCTGAGAAACAAGAGGCTTTAATATGATATCATCATTGTTGTGAGACAGGAAATAGCAAGTCAGACGATTTATTATTACAAAGAGTGGGGGTTCATGTTCACTGACCTATGCCTTACCATGACCTGTCCAGATACCTCTACCCTAAACTAAGTTTACGGTAACACTCTCATTTAGGGTTATTGTTTTGTTGAAAATGTTGATTTAATGGGGACTTGGTTCAATTCAATTGTTAGAAAGGGACGGAGTTTAGCGGACTAAATCATCGGAGAAGCCCAGCATACATGAGCAAAGAGAAGTCTGTCATTTCACCAGAAAATCGAGTTATTAAATTAAAGACATGCAAGAATGAATCAACGCATTCTCATCCTAGGGCGTCATCTAACTGACACTTTTGACCGTGTGTCTAAATCCGACGTACATGCCAACCTTTAGCGTCAGTTAGATGACACGGGTAGGTTTTAGGTCTGGGGTAGGGTTCGACCACTAGGAAGCGCGTCTCAATGGTGCCATGTGCTTCGGATTTAGACGCATGGTCAAAAACGTCAGTTAGATGACGCCTTGGGGTGAGAACGGGCTGAATCAATAGCATATCAATAACATGCATTTAGAAAATATATCCAGGATGAATTTCCATTTCATGGATTTCAT